TAGTAGGCTACGTGTCCCAAAACAGTGCAAATCCCCATTTAAAATTCCTAATGTAAAATCATTGCGAGAGCTTGGGACTATAATGTTCTATATGCATTTTTGTCAAAATGTAGTTATGGACATAACATTGAACAAAACAAGTCTCTCTACCTGTGTAGTACTCTAAATACCCCAATTCATGTTGTTAAGTTCAAAAGAATACAAGATAAAAATTGCTGCCACCATTCAAACCCTCATGGAACTTTAAAGCCAATTATCTCAGAATCATATTTCTGCAGATAGAACCCTGTAGTCCCAAGTGCTCGATTGGGTACGTTAAAAAGCTTTGAGCAAACCACGGGTATGCACTGTTGCCTGTGCCACAGTTCACACTGCGCATAGAACCTCGAGGCATGGTTTGCCCAAAAAAATTGTTTCGGGGCAATATAGGCCTACTTAATGAAAGAAAGAGCGTTCGGCTTTATGGTAGAATAAGATACACACTTTAGTCATTTAGCAGACGCTCTTATCCAGAGCGACTTACAGTTAGAGGAATCGAACCCACAACCCTGGCGTTGCAAACGCCATGCTCTTTCAACTGAGCTACATCCCTGCCGGCCATTCCCTCCCCTACCCTGGACGACGCTGGGCCAATTGTGCGCCGCCCATGAGTCTCCCGGTCGTGGCCGGCTACGACAGAGCCTGGATTCGAACTAGGATCTCTAGTGGCACAGTTAGCACTGCAATGCAGTGCCTTAGACCACTGCGCCACTCAGGAGTAACTTGAAAACGAATCATTAAAAATAAATAGATTAAATAAACAAAACATATAATATAGGCTATGTTATATAATATTATTGCATCACTAGGCCTATTAGAAGATGAAGGAATTAAAACTTGTAGGCTAATCTATGGATTCACTTTTTTTTTTATGAAGGCTGTTGGATATCAAACACAGGCCTAGATCATAGAATTGCAATTCGGCTATTGATATTTACACTCTTGGCTCCATATGAGACGTGGGAACAATAATAGGCCTAAATGCTTCTTGAAACAACATAAAAACAGTGAGATGAGTAAAATACGTTAGCTAAACACCACTTCCTTTGTCCCCGGTTTCCTGCAGTTGGAGGTCAATGGCACTGCTGTCCCTGTTCGCGGCTCCTTATCCAGACGGAATATCTGTGTCACTGATGGAGATGAAGCCCCGGATTTGGACAAGATCCACTTACGCTTTGAACACACCAACTGTGTAGTTGCGTTTTGGTACACCCGAAGTACATTCATTTCCAATGGAACGCTGCGTTTGCCTTGCAGCATTGCGTTGCAGAGGCAGTTGCAGTGCGTTCTGTGTGGTGCATAGGTTGGATTTATCGAACGTATGCGTCAAACTATGTGCTTAAACTGGTTGACAGAAATGGTAGCAGAAGGTGAATATTGAACTTTTGTTGTACAGAATTAGGGAATGTAGTATTTGTCAACTAATAACCAACATACAGCAGGACGAAAAAAGTTACATTATGATACTGCGTAAAATAAACAGTTTATGCACGGTAAATCAGGCAATAATTATGTTAGGCCTCCAAATCATTATTGCTGGGCTAATGTTAAATGGGTAGGCCTCATTAGTGGTTATAGCCTACATCGGAATAACGACAGATACATCTCGTCTGCTATTTTTTTTTCCGATAATTTGCAGGCTAACTGATCTATGCCGCCCCTTTAAGACAAGCCCAGAAGTTTGATAGTTATAGCCTAAATCTTTTGACGATGGATGATGAGAACATAATTCATGCAAACAAACCAGGGAAATCTATTAAAACGAAGACTTTTGAATATGTTCACAAATAAACGAACAAAGGTGTAATAACCTATTAGGTAGCCTAAATGATATGGTTTTGAAATAGATGACAACCCGAACATATCCACGATAGAATAACTTAAATGTAGCCTACCAACAAATGAACCCTTAAAGTGGCACACCAAGAAATACATAGCCTATAAAAAAATATTTTTTGAAAACTATGTGTAGGTCTATTTAGCCTTAATATAGGCCATACATGAATAATTTGTATTTTCATGATTTAACATTTGATAGTTAACGCATTACAAACATCTCAACTAACCGGTTGAGTTGCCCAATTAGGGTAGACTTTCTAAATAATCTAAAAAATGATACATTAACATCGTCTGCTTCAGTTATTTATAATGGAAGACAGGCCTAGTTACAGGAGGACTGATATCAAATATGAATAAAATGATAGGCCTACATGTGTTTCAAAATATGAATATTCAAATATATGTAAATTAATGCGTTTACTGTTCATATGCTCATAATCCCTGTAAAATGACATCAACTGAATAATATTGTGAAACATATTGAAAATAACAGGCAGACAGTAAATAAGCTACTGATATGAATATGAAAAGATTGTTATATTTGCACAGACCCAAAAAAAAATCACATAACAATATTTCTATATTGTCCATAATAGCTAGCTTTGAGTAAATATTCCTTTAATGGGCAACTCAACCGCCTGGTAGAGCATATTCTTCAAGAGTTCCTAAAATTATAAAACAACATTTTTTCCAAAAATATGTTTTAGAGGTCAACAACATTTTACACACAATTAGTACCCAACTGAAAATGTGTGATTAATGAGGTTCGGTTTTGCTAACGTTCACTTCCAACATTCACTTCCTTTCAGCCATCTTTGAATGTGTGTTTGAAAAAATACAGGAGTTCGATAATGAAAACCACATGATCCTTTTACTAAATGGCATTGGTTGAGATAAAATATGCCTAACAAAATTCATATGTTTAATTTCATATGTTTAATTTCATTTAAAATTGGTTGAGCTGCCTGTTAATTAAGGTCACTTGGCCCCAAGTGCTCAATGAAGTTAATCGGAATAGGCTATGGAGGATGTCGTGCTGCACCTAGAGACTGGAGAGCTAATGTAGGCCTATTGCTAATTACTTTCCATAACACAATACACACTAGTAACAACGACAGGATGCTTCTCATTGCGCGCAACAGAACTGCAAAAACTTTAGAGGTACTACGGTAAGCTATGCGAAGTAGCAACAGGCACACCTGGTGTAGAGTGAGGAGCCAGCAGGAGTCATTACAGGAAACATGGCCGGCGCTGCGGAGAGTCCCGCGAAACTAACCACGCTTTGAATAAATGTAAAATATGGGTTTCAAATGGTCAGGAAACATTGCCATTATAATTACAATGAATATGGCCATTCAAAAAGTGTTAAACGTTTGGTGCAGTATAGCCTATGCACCAACGCTTTGGGTTACTGCTATTGTTTCTTATTCGCGATGTGAAAGTAAGCCTATTTAACCTACCTATAGGTTTATAGGCTATAACATTTATAGGCTAATTGAATTTGTGAGTGAAGATAAAACACTGATAGGCTCAATATCAGGCAACTCAATAGGAAAAATAAGATGTTCAGGCTATGTCCATTCAAGTGGCCTGGTAGCCTAATGAAAATATGTTTTAATATTATAAACCATTTCTCTCAATAATTCGGAAATGTTGTATCTATTAACTCATCTTAAGTATTCATGCAAAATGCTTAAATAAGTCTAGTGTTTTCATTCTCCTCCCGCTTGTGCGCCAAGGCCTTCAAGCGAATTCCTAAACAGTCTTCCTATTTTATCAGGTTCTGTATTTTGTCTGTTATCACCTGGGTATTTACAAAGGACGCTTCCGACTTGGCAATGATTAAGTGAGCTGGTATCAATGGCATCATCTGATAAAAAGAAGGAAATGGCCGCGTTGCATTGAGGTGGACTACTTGATACATTGTTAGTCTTGCATTTTCTTGAAATATCAATATAACATAGTAAACATGTAGGTTTATAGATTATATGGGAATAAAGCAATAAAAACATATAATTATGTATTATATCCTATCTAGAAATGGTTTAGGTCTAGTAGGCTATCAAATGGTTATGCATTTTAAGCTGCCTGCTACTGTATAACAACATACGACTTAAGTGTAGGGCCTATATGTTTAGATACTGTAGTAATTAAACAAAGATAACTAATCAGGGATTGCTGGCTGAGGTTAAATAAATGTGTCCCTTTCCAAGGTTATTTGCATTAGTTAATTATGTTAGCTAAATATATTCATGATCCAGATAGTTCTGAAAAATTCTACACTTAAAAACAACAGTTCACCACAGTAGTTTATTTATTCTCGATTGCACGAAGACAAACATCCAAAACAAATAGGGCTGATCCGCAAAGACAACAGCGGTGCCGCTAACTAGTTTATCCCATTAGTAGCCCGCTGCGGCCGCAAGTTATTCAATCGCCCAAGTGTAAATTAGACTAAATCCTGGTTGCTATCGCAGCAGCTCAACAAAACATAACTTTTGTTACTATTAATTAATTATGAAGCTTGATAAGCTGATAACCCGATAGGCCTACTGTAAACGCAATATGAAGGTCAAGTGCCTAGGATCGCGCATGATTATCGTTACAGACAGGCTCCCAGGACAGCAGCCCAAGCCCCTTGTGACTTTATTAACACTTGCGCTGAACTGTGTTTACAGTCCACCATGGCCAGCCACAAACTACACTATCCTACGTTTGAGTATATCTGTAAGCGTTGCGAGAGAAAAAAAAGTGTCAGAAAATGCATTTAGAGACACATAATAATGAAACTATCCATATTGCTTAAAATTGTCTGATGGTGAGATCAATAGTGAGATCAATTCAGGTATAGAATGAGAGGTCATGTAGGTCTATTGGTTTGGGCCAGACATTGCACCAATTAGGCTATGCGTAAAATTAATGAGTGAGTGAGTGTGAGTGAGTGAGTGAATGAATTGACCATAGCCATAAATTAATACACTATTCCTACCTCCATAAAAGTAGGGATAACAACACTACAATGCATAGGCTAGTTAATTAGACCGGAGGGGACAACAACGCCCACATGTCCAAGGTAGACTATTTGGAAATTACGCGCACTATCCTTGCACAACCAAAGGACCCAAACATATAATTAACTGTAAAATTGCAGTACTTTGAAGCCTGACATCCGCAATGACGTTCAACTTTTTTTCCAAAATGGATAAAAATTTGGCACAGTGATTGACAAGGTCTTATTCAAATAAAACATCCAGTCAAAGCGTGCACACTTTTTTTTCGAGCCATGCATGGGAGGCGTGGAGCTCTCACTTTTGACATTCTCTCTCTCTGCTGCAGCTTCTCCTCAAGGCAGACTAGCGAACTCTTATGACATCACCCAGCCACCGAATGGGGGAAGAAGGGAACAGCTCTCTGCGGATGAACGATGTTTTGATACAAGTGGACGTGTTTGGGCATATCAACTGAATTCGTGCAAGGGCAAAGTTTTTAATGTTGTCCAAATCTTCAAAAAGATTCCGTGTGAATACTTTGCTTTGAAAACAGCGGAGTTACCCATAGCCTACTTCGCCGAATGTTAGAGGCGAAATGTAAAACTATAACTATTGCAGCGTATGTTCCTGCGCAATGTGTCTAGTCTCTTGATTTCTGGAATAGAGCATAAAGCAAGCAGAGGAGAGACGGCTTTTCTCGACTTTATTTCTCGCCTATGGACGACAGCGGACCCTTCTCTCCAAAGGCAAATGCATTCAGTATAGCCTCTCTGATTTCAGCTGCGGAGCAAGCAGGAAACGCAACATTTGACAAACACGGCACTGGCCTGGACAAGCAAGACCAGCACAACTGTTACAGTTCATTTAAAATGCACTACAGCACTGTCACCAGGGAAATGGAAGGTACGAGCGCGGTCTTGACAATAACCTTGTAAATATTTGCTTTCGTTAAGTTTGTTTGTTGCTCATCTCAGGTTCTTGTTGTTGTTGCATGCAGATGTGATCTTGTTCCCGTAATATCCTAAATTGAGCAACCATGTTTGCGTTAGTGTAGATATGAAATGCATAACTAAAGCAATGTTGATACTGGAGTAGAATGTAAAAAAGTAGGCTCATATGAAACTATTCCCGAAAAGTCTCGTCCAGTAGGCTATAGGAAAGTTCGGGGAGAAATATGATGCATATGACGATAAGAAGTTATAACTAATAAACGAATCATAACTTATAAAACACCCAGTAATCATAGGCTACATATAGCCTATCTTCATAGAACTGAAATATCTTGTCAAAAATAGGGATTTCAGTTGCATTTCAAATCACAGTGAGTTCGTATATACTACTTTCAGAGAAGAGAAGAGCACGATAACAGATTTTGAAAATAAGGAATGAGAAGTTAGTGGGGGGGGGGGGGGGGGCACAAAGCCTACATGGGGCACAAGTGCGAATTAATGGTAAAAACAGTTGATAGGCCTGTATCCAACACACTGGAATGGGTCCCTTATCCCAGTTCCATTTGGCAGAACAATTTAACATACATTCACCTCGAAATAACCTTATGTGTTTGTTTGTGCATGCAAATAAGTGTTTGTTTACCTTGTGAAAACGTTTACCCTCCACTGTGCCAGCTTTCCCATCTATTGTTACGGGAAGACGATGTGGGCGATTCCCTTATCCAAAAGTAAATGGGTGCCGGAAAGCCCATTAAAAGGGGCGCACTTCACTGTCAATCAGTCTCGTCCCAACGCGGGGAAAGGGACATTACCTGCAGTTCCTTATCTAAATAGAAATAAGACCCGGTTTTATCGTGAAGGGGAGGCCCTAGATAAGAGAGAAGAAGTCTGGATTGCAGTGTATCATACTGCAGTAGAGCAGCAGAGCAGAGGCCGCCTGGAATACCTTTGAACACAATCCCTCGAAAAAACAACTTGCGTGTGCACAGGGTTATAGTTCTACAAAACAATTTTTGGTTAGGATTGGGAATTATAATTAGGGTCACAGAAAAACAAAGTTCTGAATGAACTTTTTTTCTCACTATTGGACGTTATGCGAGAAACGTTGCGATCGAATTCTGTAACTGCAACAGACATTTTAGGATTTAGGCTGTGGTCTATTACAGCATCGGATGCAACAGCGATGATTAATGAACGCAGAAAACACTAAGCCACACTATTGTAAAACTATTCGAAAATCTATAAAGGGTGTTTCACGTTGAAGAAAATAACTCGAGCCTACAACTGCTTTCAGTGTTGTTATTTTTTTTTCTATCCACAAGTGCAACGCATATAGTAAAATCCAGCTTTTGGAATGATTTCAGCAATATCCAGTCCGTGGCTGACGCAGCTGTCCCATTTTTGCGATGTTGCAGCCTTCACTACTAGCAGCCTAAGCAGCCTCAACACGTCAGGGAGTTACCATCTCTCTCCGTCCCCCGGGGACCCCTACAGCCAACATGAAGCCCACTTTGAGCCTTGCCCGGCGGCTCAACACAGCTACAACTACTCGGGGTCGAACCCGGCCCAGGCCCAGCAGAGCGACACCGGGACTTCCAACTGTTCCTCATCGTCCTCCAGCTCCACGCCGAACAGCAAGTCTCTGGTGAAAAAGAACCCTAAGGTGGCCAACATTAACGTTCAGTTGGAGATGAAAGCTTTATGGGATGAATTTAATCAGCTGGGAACAGAGATGATCGTTACCAAGGCTGGAAGGTGAGTGGAATTTACACCATGATACATGCAGGCTTCACTGGGTTAGGGTGCATTGGGCCTCCAGATATGAGCTCAAATGTATCCCCTGAGAGCTCACACATACAACATAAATCATGAGATATGTTGGGAGATAATATTTAAAGTCGGTGTGTATAGTCAATTACAAATTGATGTTGATGCGATGCTGCAATGTAAATTACGCAGCAATATACAGGCCTTTCGATCTACTGAAAACATCTTTCAGCTTATGCTTTTTTAATTGTTCGTCATATTTTACTATACTATTTAGACAAACTATTCACTAATAAACTATTTAAGGAATATTATGTAGTGTTGTAATATAACTATCCCCCAGCCAATAGACAGACAGACCCCTGATATAATTTCTAGACAGATTGGAACGGAATCAAATAGGCCTATTAGCCTACAGTTTGTATGTTAAGCATTCTCTTAAATTAAGCATTTTTATTTGTAGTAGTGGATACAATTAAGACTATGCTATTTCCCCACAAATACATTTAAAACGGCCTACATGTTTGGGCAGCGAAAGCTAAATATTTCTGACTGAATAAAATTACCATATTTATCCAACATTTACGCATGCGTTTTAGAGAAGAATTGTATGCGTAAATGGGTCGTGCTTTCCTTGACATAGGCCCACAGCACAAAAGTTGAATTTGAGCTTTCCTATCCTGAGTAATAACACCATACCTAAGGCATTTATTTCTGCAACCCTAAACCCCAATTTACGCGACAATGTCACAAGTAATTGAAATATCAGTCAAAAAACATATTGATTAATTTCTCTGTATGACTAGGCCCACTTGCCATATCTATCAGTTTACTTTTAATAACTGCGTTTTTTAAATTAAATACTTAGTGTTTTATGGATTTGAGCTCCATAAGAGATGGCGTTTGCGCAGGCTCAGTTTACCTTTAGGGTGACAGCAGAAAACCATCTGTCATTCCAGAGATACTAAGCAACACAGGATCCGAGGGAGGGCACTTTAAAAGCTACTTTAGCCTCACCTATCCACAACTGCAGCCTTGAATAGACACTGACGTTAATTGAGCGGTGATTTTAGGATCACTTTCACTGGTTTGGCGGATTACTCCACACACATTAAAACGTTTTACGGTATGATACACCCTTATGTGAGTGTGAGCGTGAGTAGGAGAGTGAAAGAGAAAGTAGGCATATTTATTAAAGAGACGGGAAATAAAAATAACAGCCCCTCGCTGCGTGCGTGCGTATATATGACTGGAATCCAAAAAAGGGTAGAAGAGAAATGCAAGTGAATGTACAGTGTTATATAAAGCGTAATTTGGGTTAAGCAAAAATGTAACACGTCGTTTATCCACCCATTGAATCGCTTCATACACAGTATAGGCCTAAAATCCCGGGCTTGCTTTTTTCTTGAATAGGAAGGCGTCATATCATCACATAGGCCTACCGCAACAACAAACGCAAAAACTCAAAACCCATAACAATACTGTTGTGACTACGGGTGAAATAATATTTTCGACTGTTGTAAAAAGGCAACATGTTATCAAAAAGCATATCCCAACATATTGCTTATATCCTGATGGAATTTGCCGAAATCTCACAATCGCAAGTAAACCCCAGATCAGCCCATAGACAATGATAGAGCCAAGTCAAAGAAAACTGATTTTAATATAGCCATGTGTTTTCTCTGTCAGGCGAATGTTTCCTACGTTTCAAGTTAAAATTTTTGGAATGGATCCTATGGCAGACTACATGCTGCTAATGGATTTCTTACCAGTCGACGACAAAAGATACAGGTACGTTTTATTTACCAAATGAACAAGATACAAATCTACAATTTTCTTGGGAAATATTTTGTGCCAGTGAACATTAGCTGTAGTGGGTGTAGGGTTATGGCCTATAGTTCCAGTGGACGTGCATCCAACTCAAAGTAGGCTCGAGACCATTAATTTTTGGGAAAACAGAACGTATCCATTGAGACCCCTGTAACCTCGATGAAAATGTTGCTCGTTTTTTTTCTACCTGTCATAGGTATGCTTTCCACAGCTCCTCGTGGCTGGTGGCAGGTAAAGCTGACCCTGCTACTCCCGGGAGAGTTCACTATCACCCCGACTCTCCGGCCAAGGGCGCACAGTGGATGAAGCAGATAGTCTCATTCGATAAACTTAAACTCACTAACAATTTACTGGATGACAATGGACACGTAAGTATATTGTAGCGAAGACCCTGGTTTACTAAATAAAATGTGTATCCATGAGTAAGATGTTATAGCCTATATCCAATAGGCCACGTCACATTACACTATTTGAAAGTATTTATTTGAACTACTTGTATCTGCTTTCAAATGACTTTAAAGAGAGTACATCATTTAAATAATTTTTTCACATTTCCTAAACTACACAAACCATTTTCCAGTTTACCCATTTGTATTGGATGGCTCTGGGAAATTAAATAGGTCTAGTTATTTTTTAAATTGATTTTACATTATTTTAATATTTTACCTCTTCCTCTCTCTCCCCTGCAGATCATTCTAAACTCAATGCACAGATACCAGCCAAGGTTCCACGTCGTCTATGTGGACCCACGCAAAGACAGCGAGAAGTATGCGGAGGAGAATTATAAGACCTTTGTTTTTGAGGAAACACGGTTCACGGCGGTAACAGCATACCAGAACCACAGGGTAAGGATATCGTCCTCTATATGCTATGCAGATATAACAACACAAATTATAACATAACATTATAACATGATAATAGATGGTCGTTATTGTTGTTGTTGAATTTACACTATATTTCGTGAACAGGCAGTGTTTTTGCAACATGGGACAATTTTTAAAATATAACTGAATGAGGCCAAATATAAAACAACAGGCCTAAAACAACAGGATAAACGTGGGGCCAGCCTGCGTGCCTGTATTTCTATAATAATGAGGTAAAACTAATACGGCCTAATGTGTTAGGTTTTACACTTGTATTAGACTAGTAATTAACCTAATAATTAGCATGAAAAATAATTCGTTTGGCAAACGAATAGCCTGTAACTGACGCAAGAGACGCAAATATATATATTTTTTATTCATGTGTGCATTATTTGACCATTCCATATTTCGAACAAGGCACAACCTAACAGCATGCATTGCAAGTAAACATGGTTTTATTTGATAAAACAACAATTTAGGCTACATAAAGAATAGTATTTATGCCCCCAGTGAAATAGATTATGGATTAAGCTGACCATCTTTAAATTAAGACATGACAACCACATTTAAGAAATAGACTATAGGCCAAAAAACGCTTTTATGACCTGATCATTCATTTTACGAAACATCTGTTTCTTGCCTCTGCTTCAGTATCCCTCCCGTGAACTTTAAAAATATATATTTTATTGTATCAAATAGCTGAACATAAATCCTTTACGTGAGATTTTTTGCGCCTGAAAGTTGTCTGTGTGTCACTGATGCCCCTGCACAGCTGCCCAGTTTCATTTTTTCCTCTGTCTTTCCTGCTATGTGTTCTATCTGTTTGACCCCTCCGTATCCAACTGGTCTCCAACGCGCACTAAGGGGCTTTCATTTTGTTGTTCAACTCATTCCGGAAATTCATGACCACATAACTTCATTCGCGGATGTACAAAACTATTAGTCTCATCAATTATTAAAAATGACATGTTTAGCTGATATTTCTATTCAGTGTCAAGGCCACAATAAATCACTTTTTAGGCCTAAACTGTAATTTTGTAGGCATAGACCTAGCCTATATTACAAAAAAAATAGTTTTACATTTGTAGCCTATGCTAATAAATGCCTTGCCTACCTTTTAACATGTTGGTTATAACAGGCATGTTTCGATACAAGGGAAAGGGGGAGCGCTATAGCGTCGTTATGTATGTCAACGTAACGGTAAACGCTTTGACCCTCACTAGTTAGGTCTATATCACGCCATAGGCAGATACACGTTCCGCTCTATTTTTTCGTGTTGAGTAGTCCTAGGCTACATTGTATTTCGTGAATATTACAGGTTCGAATGTTATGTATTTAACCCTAATCATAACCTAAACCCAAAAGCCTGAAAAGGGCGTGAATAGCCTGTCACGTAATGATGAAAGTTGTTCTGGGTTGGACTTTCCACTTTGACATGGAGGGTTACTTGACTCTGTCCTTTTGGTTGTAGATCACGCAGCTGAAAATCGCCAGTAATCCTTTTGCAAAGGGCTTCAGGGACTGTGATCCGGAGGACTGGTGAGAAAACTTAAAACTCCATTTAGGTCGACTCAATTCATCAGTGACAATTAATTGGATTAATTTTCACAAAACTGCATCAAATTGTCTTAATAAAACCAGTGAACATGAAATATGTGCTAGTCTATTTACAGCCAATGTGATACATAAGTAAATCACATTTAATTATTTGTGTCTTGTGGCTCTGTTAATGTGCATCCTCTATCTTAATACATAATGAAGATAATGTTGTTTTTGACACCCATTAAAATATTTTACAGTGTAACTGAATCCATTCTTTCTGCTCCAGGCCCAGGAATCACAGGCCAGGCTCTCTGCCAATTATGAGTGCCTTTGCAAGAACAAGGAACCCAATGTCGTCTCCCCCACAGCAGAATGGCTCAGAGAAAGGTCTATTGCCCTCCCTTTTTCAGATGAGGAATATCATTTAAAAGTTCATTACCTTCACTGAGAGACCTAATGAATCCAGGAATTGTTATCTTTTATAACAAAAGTACACATTTCATCTTAATTTAGCAATGCTATAACTGAAATATGAGTAAATGTTTGCTTTCATATGTTTATATCCATGTAAAATATAGAACAGATATCACCTACAGTAAACGTAGATTGCAGAATTATAGAAATGCATTGTATGACCACAGATTAGGATGCTTTGGTATGCTTGCTCTTGGCTTGGCTAATGTGTTATACTATAGCCTACATGACAGTCTACCAATCTCTGACTATCTGCTATTGTTTGTTGTTGACTTTAGAGGACAGTAGGCGGGACTACGACCGGGACCCCAGTGGCACGCCGATGCATGCTGACCCCGCCCACCAGCTGATGTCACGCGTCCTCAGCCCCGCTCTCCCCATCCCAGGAGGCCTCCACGCCGTCCCCCTCACCAGCGGCCGGCCCAGCCCTCCCCACGACTTGCGTACCCCAGACGGCCACCCGCTGCCCCCAGACACCCTGCACCACCACCCCTACAAGTACCCCACATCCTACGAACACTACCTGGGGGCTAAGACCCGGCCATCGCCCTACCCTTTACCCGGCATCAGAGGACACACGTACCACCACCACATGAACCCAGCCACAGCTAACATGTACTCTGCCACCAGCGCCCCCGCTAACTATGACTATGGGCCAAGATAATGAACGTATAGCTGTAGCTGGCAGCCGCTGCCCATGGCCCACACACCTGGGCTACCGCTACTAGCTAGCTAGCGCTGTGGAAAAGCAAACACATAGGAGGGGAGGGACAACACAACTCTGTCTTCATGGCTGATGCAACGTCAAGTGCGTCTGGAGCTTGCGCAGTGCGCCCCTGTTGCTGGATACCCTCCACCCCACAGAGAGACAAACACTTCCGTATTTATTTAAGGGAAATGTATCTTGGCAGGAAGTACAGACTGCCCTCTGAGCCCGAGCAGGGGTCTGTCTTGACCTCTGAACATTGACAGCAATAGCTCTCCATGAGGGCACCTTTTTGCCTGCGTGGTAGAGCAAAGCAGACAGTGAGCCCTCTCTTAAGACATGGATGATGCATTATCACAGACTGGAAATTATTATTTTTGTGTTGGATGCACTTTGTTGTTTTTTTGCTTTCAAAAAAGCCATATGTTATATAGTCAATCAAGCTTCCATAAATATACAAGATATTTGCATGTTGAGCTCATCAGTTAGGTGTTAAAATGCCTTTGAAATGATTTTGTTTGAGAAAAAAAAATTTGATTAGATTTTTGAACCATCCTGAGATGTAGCCCTGAGAAGGTTGTACCATGGCACTGACTTGCAGCAATTCTAAGTAAATAAAGAAGCAGAATGATTGTTCTGTAACTGTAAAATAAACATCACATTCTAAACTTTTAATTCATAAAGCATCTTTCTCCCAGTCCTCCATTCAAATCCCTGCCTGTATGCTATCATTTACATTTACATTTTAGTCATTTAGCAGACACTCTTATCCAGAGCGACTTACAGTTAGTGAGTGCATACATTTTCATAGCGGCCCCCCGTGGGAATCGAACCCACAACCCTGGCATTGCAAGCGCCATGCTCTACCAACTGAGCTACACGATATCATAAGCCCAGGAAAGACCTTGCCTCAATGATTGCATTGTTCCGTTTTCTCAAACTGGATTTACTGAGTTGGATTATGGTGTTCAGTGTATATGTGTGAGAGAGAGGACTTGGAACCTGTCTAAACATTAGGTTGTACACCGATATGCTACAGTTCAAATGTCAGCATCCACACCCGGGTCTACAGAATTATTCAATGGTGTGTTGCATAGAAGAGGATTCACGCCACACACACACACACACACACACACACACACACACACACACACACAGTTTCACAGTAATATGACATTCTTCCAAAGGTAAACACACACATGGAAAGGCCAAGCCCATTAATTCCACTTGTGTGTGTGTGTGTTCTGAGTGCCTTCGCAAAGTATTCAGACCCCTTTTTCTACATTTTGTTAGGTTACAAACTTATTCTAAAATTGATGAAATTGTTTTTTCCCCTCATCAATCTGCACACAATACCCCTTAATGACAAAGCAAAAACAGTTTATTTTAAATTTTTGCAAATTTATGACAAATAAAAAAACTGAAATATCACATTTACATAAGTATTCAGACCCTTTACTCAGTACTATGTTGAAGCATCGTTGGCAGCGATTACAGCCTTGAGTCCTCTTGGGTATGATTCTACAAGCTTGGCACACCTGTATTTGGGGAGTTTTTCCAATTCTTATCTGCAGATCCTCTCAAGCTCTGTCAGGTTGGATGGGGAGCATCGCAGCACAGCTATTTTCAGGTCTCTCCAAAGATGTTCGATCAGGTTAAAGTCCGGGCTCTGGCTAGGCCACTCAAGGACATTGAGACTTGTCCTGAAGCCACGACTGCGTTGTCTTGGCTGTGTGCTTAGGGTCGTTGTCCTGTTGAAAGGTGAACCTTCGCCCCAGTCTGAGGTCCTGAGTGCTCTGGAGCAGGTTTTCATCAAGGATCTCTCTGTACTTTGCTCCGTTCAGCTTTGCCTCGATCCTGACTAGTCTCCCAGTCCCTGCCGCTGAAAAACATCCACACAGCATGATGCTGCCACCACCATGCTTCACCCTAGGGATGGTGCCATATTTCCTCCAAAAGTGGCTCTTGGCATTCAGGTCAAAGCGTTCAATCTTGGTTTCATCAGACCAGAGAATCTTGTTTTTCATGGTCTGAGAGACTTTTGGTGCCTTTTGGCAAACTCCAAGAGGGCTGTCATGTGCCTTTTACTGAGGAGTAGCTTCCATCTGGCCACTCTACCATAAAGGCCTGAATGACGGAGTGCTGCAGAGATGGTTGTCCTTCTGGAAGGTTCTCCCATCTCCACAGAGGAACTCTAGAGCTCTGTCAGAGTGACAATCGGGTTCTTGGTGACCAAGGCCCTTCTCCCCCAATTGCTCAGTTTGGCCGGGGCAGCCAGCTCTAGGAAGAGTCTTGCTGGTTCCAAACTGCTTCCATTTAAGAATGATGGAGGCCACTGTGTTCTTGGGGACCTTCAATGCTGCAGAAATGTTTTGGTACCCTTCCCCAGATCTGTGCCTCGACACAATCCTGTCTCGGAGCTCTACGGACAATTCTTCATGGCTTGGTTTTTGGTCTGACATGCACTGTCGACTGTGGGACCATATATAGACGTGTGCCTTTCAAAATCATGTCCAATCAATTGAATTTACCACAGGTGGACTCCAATCAAGTTGTAGAAACATCTCAAGGATGATCAATGGAAACAGGATGCACCTGACCTCAATTTCGTGTCTCATAGCAAAGGGTCTGAATACTTATGTAAATAAGGTATGTTTTTTATTTTTAATAAATTAGCAAACATTTCTAAAAACTTGTTTTCACTTTATCATTATGAGGTATTGTGTGTAGATTGCTGAGAATTGTATTTATTTAATCATTTTTAGAATAAAGCTGTAACGTAACAAAATGTGAAAAAAAAATCAAGGGGTCTGAATACTTTCCGAAGGCACTGTATATAATGTGGGTTGTGTGTGGGGCAAGAGTGTGTGTGTGAAAATAAACACAAAGAACTGAAAAATCAACAGGCCATGATATTGAGCAACCTAGCGAACAGTCTGCCAATAGCAACAACATTTGATACTCAATTAGGAATTCTATCCAACCCAATCTATTAAATCAAACATTACTTATTTCTTGTTCTGAAACAAAATCATACTTTTTTAGCTTGAAATGTAAAAAGCCTGTGTAAGCATATACACTATTTATAGGCAATTTTTTGCAGCAACCTATTATATATTTCAAAATGTTATGTTGGCAAATTAAACAAAAAGTGTAGTCTATAAAACAAATTATTTTTGCAGCCAGATTTGTCAATTGGTCTAGACCACGATATAAATCAAATTGTGCAATTGCTACCTGAAATCATTGAGAAAACAAAATACTGCTGATGGATTCAAACGCATTATCAACATTAAACGTTTTTTAAACTTAAAAGCATCTACAATATCAGGAGCAGGAATAGCTTTTACCATGAACAACAGGTCATACAGCCAACCATCTGACTTCCCAGAAAAATACCCACTTTGTCTCTTCCACACAGACAAGATTAAAGCACTAAACATTTCCTCTTAAAGGCCCACTGCAGTCAAACACGTGACCACTCCCAGACAGCCCTAGCAAAATTCTTGCTTGAGAAATTGCTCTTTGCTATTTTTGTTTATTTTTTACAATTTTAATTGAAAACAAATCGCAGCAAAGCTACTTAATTGTTACCCAGAAATTATTTTATATAGAGATTTTAAAAAACGGCTGCGTTGGACCTTTAAAGGATATATTCCTCACATGAAACACAACAGTAGTGGTATATTTTTAGCTTAAAAAGGATAAAAAGCTGAAAACACACATTCCTATTCCGTGCAGTGTTGTCTCTATTTCAAGTCGGTCCTATGAGGGATGCTTTATTGTCAAGGATAATTCTTGCTAAAATAACATGCTGTTTGTCATGACAATAGGAAACGTCATGATTCATTTAAATTAGGCATCTTCTCTTCAAACGCATGCAGCTGCGGAAGGGTCCTATGTAGAGGAAAAGGACGACCATGCACAGGTTGACCTCTGCCTGTTAATGACTTGTGAAGTAATCTAAGGTTAAATAATGTGTCCACTCATTTGACCAGCAACTAATTGATCGTATAAATTCTGTTTTGGGTACTAACACCAATAACAGAGACCTGAAAACGTGGAATTCAGGAATATATGGAATAAGAGCTACTCTCGTTTGAGGCAAATAGTTTTTCCAAAGGCAATAATTTTACTGTAGGTTAGGACTATGCTACATATTTTCAAATTCGAACAAAATTAAGATTCAAATCGAAACCCACACGGATACATTTGATTATCAAATTAGCCTTGGAAAAACAATACTTTTTTCGATTTAAAGTTCTGACACTACATTTCTACAAAATAGGCACGTTTAATAAAAAAGTAATTATTCAATAACTAAAATAATGCAAGCCTAATGTATAAACAATTCTAACATTTACATTGAAATATCTGCATGAACTCCAGGATAAAAGTGTGATTATATGATACATTTGGAAGCAAAGAATGGATTCACGAAATGTTGCCTTTATAGGCCTACCATCATGCACTGATTCGATATGGACTGGTTCTTCAATGTTAACTTTTTACGCTAATTTATAAACAATACTGCTATTGTTATTATTATTACATGGTATTGCACATTTACTAATGATTTTGTAGTTGATAAATACTTAAAACACATTTTCCTTTATTTTCCAATATTCCTGGTTCCTGTGTGACCTGGACAGGAAGCATCAGTCTGGGGAATTTAGGCTCCCTTCGCGTGAGCTGAACTTCGGCTGGGCGTAATGAGAAGTGACTCATCAGGAAGGCAAGGACACCGAGACCCAGGCCTCTTCCGTTAGGTCGAGGACTCTTCTGTTAGGTCGACCCAGCTGTGTTTATCCTTGCAGTGCTTCGCCTTGATGTGGGGCCAGTAGTCCCGAACCTGCGCTGCTCTCCGACTGTCCGCTCGCTGAGAACCGTCAGGTGAGGACAGGACAGGAGTCCATGGCCATAACTGACAGATAATTACCGCTTGGACACAAGTCCCATAAACTTACCACAGTCATCTAAACCCAAACTGGACATTTACGCATGACAGATTTTATTACAGGGGTATACTATAGCCTACATTGCGGCTCAAAAGTAGCATAACTCTTAAATATCGTTGATAATACACTCCATTGCTATTAATTTAATTTCTATGCATATTTTTGTCATATAAAATGCCCTGTAAACATACCACCTTACATAAAGTAGCCTATGCCTGCTAGAGGAACCAAACGGTAGGACAAGTAGAATTAAATATACAACATCTAAAACAGCAGTTCATTTTAGGGGCCGAATGCTGCTCCTTGCAACAACAAAAAAGTAATTGAACTATTACAACTAAAACTATTTTTGAACAAAAATATAAACAAACATGTAACAATTTCAAAGATTTTACTGAGTTATGGTTCATATAAGGAAATCAATCAATCAATTAAAATAAATAAATTAGGCCCTAATCTATGGATTTCACATGACTGGGAATACAGATATGCATCTGTTGATAACAGATACCTTAAAAAAAAGAAGGTAGGGGCGTGGATCAGAAAACCAGTCAGAATCTGGTGTGACCACCATTTGCCTCATGCAGCATGACACATCTCCTTCACATAGAGTTGATCCGGCTAATTGTGGCCTGTGGAATGTTGTCCCATTCCTCTTCAATGGCTGTGCGAAGTTGCTGGATATTGTCGGGAACTGGAACTTGCTGTTGTACACATCGATCCAGAGCATCCCAAACATGCTCAATGGGTGACATGTCGGGTGAGTATGCAGGCCATGAAAGAACTGGGACATTTTCAGCTTCCAGGAATTGTGTACAGATCCTTGCGACACAGGATCGTGCATTATCATGCTGAAACATGAGGTAATGGCGGTGGATGAATAACACGACAATGGTCCTCAGGATCTCGTCATGGTATCTCGGTGCATTTAAATTGACATTGATAAAATGCAATTGTGTTCATTGTCCATAGCTTATGCCTGCCCATACCAAAACCTCAACGCCACCATGGGACGCTTTGTTCACAGCGTTGACATCAGCAAACCGCTCTCCCACACGACGCATTACATATGGTCTGCGGTTGTGAGGCCGGTTGGACGTACTGCCAAAGTCCCTAAAACGATGTTGGAGGCGGCTTATGGTAGAGAACTTAACATTCAATTCTCTGGCAACAGCTCTGGTGGCCATTCCTGCAGTCAGAATGCCAATTGCACGCTATCTCAAGACATCTGTGGCATTGTTGTGTGACAAAACTGCACATTTTAGAGTGAGTGGCCTTTAATTGTCCCCAGCACAAGGTAAAGATCATGCTGTTTAATCAGCTTCTTGATATGCCACACCTGTCAGGTGGATGGATTATCTTGGCAAAGGAGAAACACTCACTAACAGGGATGTAAACAAATGGGTGCATCAAATGTGAGAGAAATAAGCTATTTTGGGGATTTTTTTCAGTTAATGAAACATGGGACCAACACTTTACATGTTGCGTTTATATTTTTGTTCAGTGTATATTTGCCATAATAATGGTTCACAATGATCTGTGACACATAGGCTACATTTTAAACTTAGGGCCATGACTGTTCATAATTTTTGCTGCACATTCAGCTCAGATAGGCCTAAACACTGACATGAATTCCTGTGTTTCCCCACTACTAACCTCATGCTTTAAAGGTGAGTGGGCATGTCTCAGGCTGAACCTGTGGAAAAACATACTCCAATCAGACAGAAAAATAAGACTTGAGTGAAACCTTTGGTATTTCTGTACAGCCTAGCTATGCACACAGATGTCTTCAGCTCCAAAGAAGATAAGATGCCAAATGCTTGCCATATGAGGACAGACTCAGGAGAATGAATGCTAATGCAACCACAGGCATAATTTCACACTCATCTGCATCTGGCCCATCTGTTGTGACAAGCCTATCAGAGCTGTGCTCAGTTTGTTTTACCTTTGTGTACATTTCTCCTGCCGCACCCCGGCAGCTTGGCATATCTGGGGACAGATATTAAAAACAAGCCGAGGTAGACCTACTGGAGTCGTTTACCTAAAAGACATGCAGAGAGAGCAGAGCAAGTGTTTCACATTTTCCCAAAGCTTTTCAGCGAGTGAAGGTACTACAGTTTATGTTCCATTTGACAACGCTGAAGGACATTTTATGCTGAATATAAAAACATCATCACTAGAGAGAAACAACCGTGATACATTCATATTAGTGTGCATACGATCAATAAAGACAACTCTGCCTACAAAGCATGGCATTTTACCTGCTCTCAAGCAGAAAACTATTATTTTCTTACAATCATATTCCTATTCATTTCTATTTTATAAACATTCAGGCTCAGTTAATCTCACGTCATCGTCAACACCCAGTAATCCAACCCACCATTAATAGACCAAGGTCTATTAAACCCTGTGCTGTAATAGCATAGAAGAGGCCTAGGCTAAGCTAAATACTCTTGACTGAACTGAAAGAAAATATTCAATCACAATGGCCCGCTGACCCTTGACCCCCAAGGCCATGATAGACACGCTAGGTGATAACTGACTGAGGCACGGGTTCTATTGTGCGTCCGGCCCTGTTGTGGGGTCCTCTCCTCTCTCCATTTATTGACTTCCTAAATGATCCATTATGAGGTGATTTACGACAGCCCCCCTCCCGTCCTCCATCCCTCAGCTTGTGGGTCGCTCCTCCATTCAGCACACATCTGCACCATTTGATTTATCAGAGAATGGACGGAAGCCGGCCCATGCCACTTCTGTTTGTTCAAAGTCTACAGGAGAAGTAGGAAGCTATTAGAGATTGAAGAAGTCGCGGCAGAGGTCACGGACAAAGGTAGGGAGAGAAGTCTGAGCGGAGGGAAGACAAGGACGGAGCACGCGCCAGGGGAGTTAGTTCATGTAATGGAACGGGTTGCTCTTTCCTCTTACTTGGAAAAGAGGAATATCTCACTGCCATTATGAACGTCAGGAGCCTTTGATTTCTCTGGCCTTTTCCTGTAAAGTCTGATGAGCTACTCCTGTCTAGGTCATCCCAGGAGACTGGGGCTTTATGAAGCAAAATGTCTGTTTGAAGTAGGCAGTGCGGCCATGTAACACATGAGATCCCATGCTGCTCATTGACTCACTGGGATATTATTAGAGACACCATTTACACAAGGTAGACAAACATTACAAACATAAGTATGGAGGACGGCTTCTCAACTACCCTGACCAAGGAAGACTAATTTAGATTCTAGGTTGCAGTTATACAACTGTTGATGCTTGGTGGATGTACAGAAAAACATATTTATTAGGCCTACCAGGAAATAAAAAAGTAAAAAAGCAAAGCATTTACTACATACATACGGTGTACTTGGGGTGTAATTCACAAACCGTAAATGTATCCAATCAAAGTTTGAATTTGACACATTACTTCCCACAATGCACAGGGGCAACATATCATATTCACAAAAACAAACAGAAATACATTCAAGACCAAACTGAAAATACAATTAACCTCTTTAGTCCATATCCCTACAGACAGCCTCTCTAGTTGAGGGACGATTGTTTAGTGACCCTCCTTAACAAACAGCTTTGTCTCTTCTGTCCCAGTTCTGTGGTTAACCCTGTTTGACTGATGCAGTGTAGGTCAAAGCAGAGGGCAATGTTAAACTAGATCAACAACACAGGATTACACAGTCGCTCAGGTGCGACTTATACCTCAAATTCAAGTCCGCTCAAGCAAATCTCCTACCAGATAAGCAAACACTATTTAACAGTTGGATTTGACAAAATAATGTGTACAAATTCCTCAAATTAAGTCTCAGTGAATTGTTAGCAGAACTAACCCGCCATCTTGACAGCTTTTGTTTGGAAGCACAAAGACATCTCATCCTGACCTGATCCATCTTGGCTATGTCGGAAATGTCTTCACAGTCTGAGACAGAAGTTCCTGCCCAGTAGTCCACATAGTCCAGCTCTAGTCAGTACATTCAGATACAGACCTGGGATAGTAAAAGGAGTGTTCATAATGCTTATGCATCGTGAAATGTAGAAGAGTTGGTATAATCACTGAGATACACGCATTCATGGTCACACCCATAGCATACCTACAGGGCCCAGTGGCTCACCCAGTGTCCGAGTCTGAGCCCTGGTTGTATATGGACCAAAGGCTGATGCGTTGGTCTTTGGATCCCGCGGCCAGCAGCCTGTTCCTTGGGTCCTGCTGGTCTGAGAAGGCCAGGCTGATCACCATGTCTGTGTGGTGCTGGAGGACAGCCAGGGACCGGAGCTTCTTCCAGCCAAACACACGGACACGGTGGTCCCAGCCGGCCGACGCCACGATCTTACGGTCCCCCCGGATACAGAGCTGGGAGATGCCAGGATTCACAAGGGCTACGGGTTGCTGGAGCTGAGGATTGAACAGCAAAGACCACAGAGAGAGCAAGCAACAAAAAGGGGCCATAAGAATCCATACATAGACTGTTCTCAGAGAGCCTGATTCACCAACACAAGCATGCACACAATGTTCAACACAAGAAAAGCACAGCAATGCACTCCAAATTGGTTATAACATTGTAGGCTGCTAAAGGTAATTGGTCAGGACTTTTCAGTTGCTAAGTAACATACGCAAGACGTTCATGCAAAACAGAAACCCATGGATATTTAAAAATAGCCTTTTTGTCACAGTAATTGAGGTAATCATTTTGTTACACAAGATCTAAAACGAGACTCAAAAGAATTGCGCAACCAACCGAGAGAGAAAAATAATGATCAAACACCAATTAGGTCACCAAGCTACTTAATCATTCCCGTGTGGGGAAGCATGCCCAATAACAACAGAGAGAGAGAGAGAGAGGGAGTGGGAGTGGGAGGGAGGGAGAGAGAGATGATCAGCTGATTTGATGATTGAGGTCCAAGTGGAGGCCTGGATTGTTGTTGAACCTGGCCAAGAAACTCTAGGGACTCAATCATCGGGCATAAAACATTACGACATGAGTAGTGGAGAGCAAATCTCTCTCAATTTCGACTATTTGGTTTGGAGTTACAGGCTGGGAGGTTTTCAATGGTAAGAGCAATGGGGCTGAGATACCTTTGTCACTTCTTTACGAGCGAGAGCGAGAGAGACAGCGCGAGACAGAGAGAGGGAGCGAGACAGAGAGAGGGAGCGAGACAGAGAGAGGGAGCGAGACAGAGAGAGGGAGCGAGACAGAGAGGGAGAGCCGAGAGAGACAGAGAGAGGGAGAGCCGAGAGAGACAGAGCGAGAGAGGGAGGGATCGAGACAGAGAGAGGGAGAGCCGAGAGAGACAGAGAGAGGGAGCGAGAGAGACAGAGCGAGAGAGGGAGGGAGCGAGACAGAGAGAGGGAGAGCCGAGAGAGACAGAGAGAGGGAGCGAGAGCGAGAGAGACAGAGCGAGAGAGAGAGGGAGCGAGACAGAGAGAGGGAGAGCCGAGAGAGCGAAAGAGAGGAGTAAATAAAGAAAGAGAGATAGACCATCTCGTTGAAATCCTTGTTTGCAGAACCGTGTTTCTTTAAGCACCTCTGATGAATTACATGTGCATTGAAAGGTCTGGTCAACAGGAGAAGAGACCGATAAATACACAGTTGTAAAGGCTGCCTGCTCCAGATTACCCTCCACTCCCATTCTCTGATCTACAGTGTCCCTGAGACTGAATTTATCTCAGTAAGGGGCAACATTGTGACACATTATAATGGATGGCAGCAAGATCACTATCTACGGGCCTAGTGCCGCTGACATTCCGAGGGGGAACGTACGTGCTCTACCCAGTTCTTCGTAAGACTGCGCAGCGTAACGCTGGTGTGTTTGAATGGGACATCCACATCTGGCCATGGAAGCAGGAATCAAACTGGACAGCGTAAAATTGACTTCATAAGCTGTGTCCTTGGAGACTAATGGCCTTGTGCAGGAGGTGACAGCCAAGAATTTATCTGCGTGCTCCTGTTCCGGATGGGAAAATCAGAGGCGTTCAGCACTGCATGTGGAAGATATAAGCCAGGTACTCCCAGTCCCAACCCTAGTGGATAGAGTGGAATGCAACGGGAGAAAGACTACAGAGGAGGAATGCCATTGATCAAAACGCAACCAACGAACCGACATACAAAAACCTAGAATAATTTAGGATTAATATGGGTTCTTACTACTTGACTTAGATCAAGCTAATACTAACGAACGTATTGTCAGCCGAACTAGACTAGCCCATGTAAGAGACCTACAAACCAACAAAGTGGGGCTGGATGGGGGAGGGGGGGGGGGGGGGGGGTGAAAGATGGATCATTTTGAAGCCCATTATTACCTCAAGAAGTTGGTATGCCCGAACCCCTCTCCATCTGGTTGTCATTACAGGCCTTGATAATGATAGGTTCAACTGTCTATTTTTGTTTGTTTTGCTTCCCATAGATTGTGTCAGGAAAATGTATTTATTTAATGAAGGGGTCAGTTGTAAGCCGTAAATGGCTGGTCAAAAAAGTAAGTAATTGTCCATCCATTGTTAGGTTGTAAGCCTAATTATTTTCTCTACACTTTCTCCAATCTGAAACATGATGCTGAGAAAATGGCTGCTACATCAGACACTTCTTCCAGTGAGTGTAGCTCAGTCATTAATAAACTCCTCTCATTCCTTACTATCAAATTCTCGTCATCATGAAAATAATTTGTCTGTTTGAGCATTCCATCCTGGCTTGGTTACAGACACACCAGGCCTGCTGTCTAAATGCCAGTAATCTCAGCAGTCAGTCACAACTAGGCTACCTCCTGCTCTGCTCTGTTCTACAGCTGGGCTTTCCCAAAAGCCATTCATTTCCCCAGATTACAGGGTCTAGTCCAATAAAAACTCACACGTTGAGATCCTGCTCTTGGCAATGCGGACAGATAGGACGGACGTTCAAAAGGAGCGTCTGCTTTGCTTCTCGGCGCAGATCGCTCAGGAGGACCAGCTCTTGGCACGGAGCTTCACGCTGATCTATTGAAACATCCCCATCATCAGTCTCACTCAAGCAGATTGTGTCCATTCCATTCCGGAATTCTGGCAGGTATTTCTAACACCCCACCCAGGTCTGAATAACACTGTGGGTGTCGGTGTCAGGGGCCCCGTCTCAGAGACAGGAAAGGAGATGGACGTGACAGACAGACGGACAGGTAAGAGCTACACCTGTACCTGCCCTCCCAAACCTTAAAAAAAAATACTAATAGAATATCTCTTGAAACCAGGCGGCTCGGCCACGCCTCAGAGGAACTGTTAGAGAAGGGATCCAAGTCATCCATCCATCAGTCCATCACCCCCAGCCTAGATTAGGCATCAGTCTGTAATGACCTGACCTATTCTCTCTGTCAGCTGATAGATGTAGGCCTCACTAGAATTCCTGGTACACAGGAGCAGACCTGGGTTCAAATGCTATTTGAAATACTTTGAGTGTTTGCTTTAGCCTGCCTGAAGTGCCAGTCGGGCGTGATATGCACTTTTGGGACTTCTCTATTAGTTTCAGTAAAATTTGCAACAGACAAGCTCACCCCACCACAGCTAAAGTACGTGAAATGATTTCAAATAGTATTTGAACCCAGGTCAGCACAGGAGAGTCTATGCAGGTATGTGTTGGTGACACGGAGATGCTTGGTATTCGGGGGCTGGGCCGAGGGCAGGAGGTTGAGATGGGGCTGGGGTTAGAGATGGCTGTGATTGAGGGATGTGGAGCGCCACCTGTGAGAGCTGTCATCATGTCATTGTGTCTCTGGCCTGGCCACTCACAGAGTCAGCCATGCCTGATTTACGCTGCTAATCTCCCTCGGTCTCTCTCTGCCTCTCTCCCTCTATGCCCGCTTCTCTCTACCTCAGTCTTTCTCTCTCCTCCATCTGTCTATCTATATCTGACTGGAGGAACCCATCTCACAGTGTCTGTCAGTAGTGAGCAGCAACCTTTGGCTGCTGGGGACTAAATCCATATCTATGCACTCTCCCCTGCTCAATACACACACGCACGATATCCTCACAAATACGTAACTAACAAAAAAGTTAAGATACCAAGGTTACCAAAGCTCATCTGAACAGAAGATAACAGCCTCTAGGAGCCATGTGTAATAAATTAAGTTCCATTCCAGAGTGTATCTGTCCTTATCTGAGCCCATTTCACAGCCTTCACCTCCCACTAAGGAGAGCAGAAACTACCACCAGGACCCCACTGTGTTCTGTCAAACTCAGTTTTCCCCTCCACCTCAGAGTTGAACTCCCTCCCTCCCCCAGCTTGGGCTGTGGTGTGGGGGTGATTCCACTGCTCTGGGTGGTGTGTGTGGTGTGGTGGGGTGATTCCACTGCTCTGGGTGGTGTGTGGGGGGGGGGGGGGATTCCACTGCTCTGGGTGGTGTGTGGGGGGGGGATTCCACTGCTCTGGGTGGTGTGTGTGGGGGGGGGGATTCCACTGCTCTGGGTGGTTGTGTGGGGGGGGGGGGGGGGATTCCACTGCTCTGGGTGGGTGGGTGGGGGGGGTGGGATCCCCTGCTCGGGTGTGTGTGTGGGGGAGTGGGGGGGGGGGAATTACACTGCCTTCGGGGTGTGTGTGTGTGTGTTGTTGTGTGTGTTGTGTGTGGGGGGATTTCCACTGCTCTGGGTGGGTGTGTGTGGGGGGGGGGGGTGGGTTTCCACTGCCTCTGGGTGGTGTGTGTGCGGGGGGGGGGATTCCCCACTGCTCTGGGTGGTGTGGGGGTGATTCCACTGCTATGGGTGGAAGTGATTCCACTGCACTGGGTGGGGGTGATTCCAATGCTCTGGGTGGTGTGGGGGTGATTCCACTGTTTTGGGTGGTGTGGGGGTGATTCCAATGTTCTGGGTGGTGTGGGGGTGATGTCACTGCTATGGTTGGTGTGGGGGTGATTTGTGGACTGGGGTCCTATGGCACTTCCAGCTCCTCAGACTTGATTGTAGCCTCCCACTGTGAACTACTGTTCCTTTACTGCAGATATGTTTTTTGTTTGGTTAACAGCCTCCAAGGTTTTTATATTTGTATTACCTCTCGCGGGTCGTACATCGGGCAGAGAAGAGCAGCCATCCGGCAGGCAGATACCCCAGCCCTCCGCCTCGCTATACTGCCGTCCGCACAAAAATACTTTTGTGGGAAGAAGTGGAGATGGCTGTCTGGGCGTCACACTGCGCTGCACTTCAGGATAATTTAAAAGCCCCAGTTGGATCCTTTCCCCCACTCGCTTTTTAAAATATTCTCCAGAATTACATATTAAATCAATATTTTGTGCTTGTGCAAAATAAACCGAATAGCCAGGGCTCCTATTTTCAGTATATTGAATCAAACCCTTTCCAGTGTTATTGCAGGCGTTTGGGGCAAAAAAACAGAGGGTTTACAAATATTTCTAATTCAAGCGTTCATTTGTAAAAAGGCCTGGAAAGAATAATACCCCTCCACAGTGCAGGAGTGTAGTATATCAAGTCTCAGGTTCCCCTCTACACTGATTCATTGGGTACACGTGAAATATGGGGCCGTTCCTTTCGCTCATGAAATCAACAGAAAATATAGCGTCAAATGAAGCGTTGCAGCTCAGATGCGCTCGGTTGTTACGTAAGATAATATATGGCAGAAGAGTGATGGGATGTTTGTTTTTTCAGAGTCACTAAAGCAGCTAGACTAGAGCATCAGGATGGTTCTGGTCTGAGAAGGACTGAGCACGCATGTGTGTGTGTGTGTGTGTGTGTGTGTGTGTGTGTGTGTGTGTGTGTGTGTGTGTGTGTGTGGCAGACGATCTGCTCCTCTAGAGTGACACCCCAGCCCTGGGCCTGCCGACACTGTGTAACCAGCGGTTTGATTTATGACCCAGAGCCCTGCAGAGACTCTTCCTCTGGGCTGTATGTTTTACCAGAGAGAGAAGAGAGCCAGAGAGAGTCTGGAGAGAACAGACCTACCTGGGTTCAAATACTATTTAAAATCCTTTCAAATACTCTATCTGTGATTGATTGAGCTTACCTGCTGCGACGGAAACAATAGAAAAGTCCCAAAAGGGCAAAACCCACCCACCTGGCCACTCCAGTCTGGCTAGAACAAACGTCAAAGTCTTTGGAAGATTTTAAATAGTATTTGAACCCAGGTCTAGGAGGGAGTCCGCAGAGAAGGCTCACACTCACTGACCTGGAGTCTGTGCTGTCCATCAAGCATCCAGGAGGCGAGGCTCTTCTCTGAGGAGCCAGAGATGCCCCTCTGCCTGGCGGGGTCAAAGTCCAGACACATGACGGGCTCAGGGTGGGCGGCCGCACTGCTCAGCACGGACCTCTGGGATACGTCCCATAGCACCAGGGAGCCGTCCTCATAACCAGCCAGGAGGAGAGGGCCAGGGCTTGAGTCTGGCTGAGAGGGGGGGGGGGAAGAGGAGGATATGTTACCATAGAGGCCAGGGGGCTGTGCAGACAGAGCAGGGGTTATCTGTATGGGAGCACACTGACGCTGTGCGACTCTGAGGACCATTACTCTCCTGCTGGCCTGGCAGGCAGACTATTACTATTACAGTGCTCGTCAATTTACTCCTCATCTGTATCCCTCCCTGCAGGAGCAGACATGCATATAGACTCACTGCACTGTCTAATACACACACACACAGGTTTTACAGACGTATTCTATATATCCTATTCTACTGCACATGCAGACAACAGCCTTTTACTATGTGTTTACTGGCTGCCTGTGAAGGATCCCAGGTATTGATCTGAGACAGGGAAGAGGAGAGGCGTTATGAGGAGGAATACGGTGGGCTCCTAAATCAGTTTAGTGGATGAAAACAAAGGTGAGCTGATAAAAGCAGAGGGCTTCATATTATCACCTCACAGCTGGAGGAAAGGAGGAAAGGGGAGGGCGCCTCCCTCTCTCCTCCCCTGACCACAGGCCCACCATTTATCTCTCTCGGCAAGTAAAGGCACAGCCCCCTCAGTCTGAAAGCCCCGTCCCTTTACAACCACCTCCACCTGATGTATGCAAATCAGGGATACGACTACCTATCATTATGTCTTCAGGGGAAAAGTCAAGCGGAAACAAAAATAGAATGCTGGCAGGTATCGCAACCCAACCAGTTTAGAGGGAGGATATCTCCATAACCATAAAGTATTTAGAAAGCAACTATGCTTCTTCTCTGTATTGTTACCACTCGTCTTTGAGCCTTAGCTACAAACTTGTCCCATCTAGAGGCTGAGCATACCATCTGGCCTCAAGCGATAGTGTGCCCTGCATAGGCAAGACTGAAGGACAACAGAAATTCTTTCCATATGTGTAAGGAGCCAAGAGAACCGAAGACACTTTTTCTCCTCCTCCTCAAGTCCTCTTCTCACTTAACAGTATATTTCTCTTTTCAAGCCTTAAAACAAATTATAGACAGACCCGTGTATTCCTTATAAACACGTCACTAACGAACTATATTATGAGATTATGAAAACAAATAAAAACAACTGAAAATCAGCGTTCTCCTGCCTCCTGGCTGGGCTGTGTCGGTTGCTAAGCGTTACCGCCTGCTGCCCCTCGGCCCTTGCACTTCACGTTAAGTGTAGGAGCTCATTGATTGATGATGTCACAGGGCGGAGGTCAGGGAACCCTGGGTAGACACCTAATTCATTATATCCTCCGCAGCCCCTCTACAAGGCTCTCTGCTGGAGTAGGGCTCATGCTTCAGGGAAAGATTCATCATTATAAAGCACCGTTGGCAAGATGGATGAACGTTGAACGGTGCACCCAGAGTCAGAGAGAAGAGTAGTGGGGCCGTTGTACTGTACTCTATGAAAACTGTTGTTCACCATCCAACCCCATCTCCTAGGGTGCAATCCAACTGGCACCCTATTCCCTATAAAGTGCACTACTTTTGACCAGTGCACTATATACATATATATAGGGTGCCATAGGGGGTGCAGCGCTAGTTACCGCCTAGTCTTCTGTACAGACCCAGCCTCTCTGTGCTCCTAAGCTTTGCTTCACTGAGTAGAGGGTCAGACTTGACCAGAAGAAGTGGTCTTGGGGTTTTTCATGTGCTCTTCTAATAACCAACGCAGGTCACACATGCTCTACCGATCTGCCGTATGTCATGCATCGCAGAACACCATACTAAACCTGTTCATCATCATCAGTCACAGGACTCACAGGACCCAGACTACAGTATGTCCCAAACCAGTTGTGGGAAAGCGAGAGAGGGAAGACTTGAGAGAGCGGGAGAGGCACGGTGATGTGACAGATCAGGGGAAAGGAACGGTGGGCACCACACCACAGCAGCACATACGGAACCAATCCCATCCCCGTCCATCCATCCGCTCTACTCCACTTCGCAATGACATGATGGCTTTGGGGCGATGAGCTGAGAGTGATGGATATCTGTATAGGAACCTTTCCTTCTCGCCGGCAGCCTCTGTTCATGTTAAAAGCCTTGCACATCATACATCATGTCCACCTCCCGAGCCCACATCTCACATCTCCCTTCCGCACAACATATGGAGGCACTTTCTCCCTCCGCTCCTGCCGCTAGCCGGCCTTAGCCAATCAGAATGCTCCGTTAGCTCGTTTACCTTCCAGACCCAGACCCCATTCCGCATGCTAACTTTAGAGAGGCCTGGGGAGGGGAAAAAATGCAAAGCAAAAACCCAAGAGGGGAGGGCAAACCCAAAAGAAAGCGCTACGTAATATGATTTTAAACCTTTCCAAACGTCCAGCGTCAAGCGTTTAAAGGCCGCCAATAAATCTGTTCTCAGGTCTCTGTCAGCATGATGGAGGATCCTTGCTCTCACTCTCAGAGGCAGGATGGAGGGAGAGGAGAGAAAGAGAGGGGAGCCGACTCATTGTCTTCCCCCCAGTGTGTGTCAGAGGTTGAGGAAACAGCGGGCTGCACCAGCAGGGATCATGTGGATAAGGAGGTGAGCGTCTTGTGATTGATTGACAGAATGTGTGGGCGATATATTCAGGCTGCCTCCTATACCCCTCAGCACTTGGTTAACACATTCACACGCAGAGACGTGTAACACACAAAGATGCACAGTACTGTAGACACACACATATACTCACAGTACTGTAGACACACACATTCAATGTCACTCACAGAACTGTAGACACACACACTCACTCATACGCACACAGTACACACTCTCACACTTGTACGCACACACACACATTGTTTTCAACTCTCCCCTGGCGGGTACGTTTTCGAGTAGCTCTGTGATGGTTACAGATTATTCTGGCCCGGTGATGAAAGGATCAAACTGGAATGATTTAATGTAACCTGGGCCTGGTGTCAAACAGATCTGCCTGCCTGCAAAGTATCCCTCCCATTGACATTGCATACTTAATAATCATGTTTTCTGGCAGTAAACCCTGAAACTGCATTGGCTTCCAAAATCAAATAAAAAGGAAATAGTAAAGAACACAACTAAACAGTATTAAGCAACAAAAGGACAATTACCATTGATGTCTGGTGACACATATAGCCACCCAAACCGCCCTGGTTCAACACACACACAGTATACACACTGCATCGCCTGCTCTGACTCCTGTTGCCACTCAACTCCCAAACCGCCCCTGTTCTGTCATCAAACCAACCGGCCGCAATTCATTAAACGTCTTGCATAAGCAGAAAATCATAAATACTGCAAAGCAAAAAATATTAATTAACCGTGAAAATAATTACAGGTCTCTGTAATGGGGGGGGGGGGGGGAATAAAACTCTTGACAGTATTTACAAAATAGAGGAGGGCAAAGGATCTTTAGATGCAATGTGCAGCTGGCTGGCGGTTAGACGGCTGATATATGGCTGTTGAACCCCAGCTCTTGCACACACTGTAATTACAGTGTTGGGACTCGACTCGCTCATCGTGAATGGAGAATGGCACTGGAAAAAAGTTCTAGCTATAAATCACCAAGCCAAGAGTAGTCTCATATTTGTTGATGTATCTTTTATGTATGCGTCTTGTCGAACGCTCTCAGCCAATCCGTTTACAACCAGTAAAAATAGAAACATTAAGGAGAAGGACGAGAGGAAAGGAAAATACTACACCTTTTCTTTTCTTTTATGGTCGTAAAGTGAACTGACTGAACTCTATAGTGCAGTGTGATGCTGCACTGTTAGCTTACCGTAGATACAGGTAGCTGGAAGCTAGACTGTGTCCCAAATGGTACCCTATTCCCTTTATAGTACATAGGGGCTCTGGTCAAAACTAGTGCACTATATGGGAGATAGGGTGCCATTCGGGACGCAGCCCTAGACTTGCTTCTGGGAGAATAAGACAGTGTATTGGATACTCCTTGCCTGCCATAGCTTGATGCACATAACCATCCCCAGCTTGGCTTGTGGTATCAGGGAGCAGACTGGGCTCTTGCTGGGCAGGTCAATGATCTTCACCTGTAGGAAGAGGAACAGTCAAACACTCAGGCAGAATAAGAAGCAGATTTCTAAATTTGTACATGGTTATTACATTCAAACTAAGTAACTAACTAACCCACCCAGGCAAGAGATGGCCGTCATTGTAAATAAGAATTTGTTCTTAACTGACTTGCCTAGTTAAATAAAGGTTAATAAAATAATAAATAAACAAGCAGTGTCCACTCCAATCCACCCTAGACCCCAGTCACACACTAACAACACCCAATCACAGATGTATAAGCTAAAGCCATATGTCTTGCAACCAACCAACAAAAAAACTGATACAAATACACCTTATGGAACAGCAGGGACTGTGAAGAGATACAGGTACAGACACATGCATACGCACACACATGCACTCTACATACACGTACATTGTAATATTGTTGTATTATACATTTTGTATTGTAGATACAGTATGTAGTGGTGTAATAATGTTTTATCTTTTGTTTTATGTGTGATGTAAGTGCCTTAAATGTGTTTGGACTCCAGGAAGAGTAGCCTTGGCAGCAGCTAATGGGGATCCCTAATAAATACAAATACTGAACAACAGAGACAAGGCAAACTTTTTTTTAAATATATTTTTTAAAATCAAGTTCAAACTTCAATCCCTCATTTCAGCGCAGCAACAGGAAACACAACGGGACTGGGACATAACAGCTTTACACTTTATGGCCGTCTTATTACTATTAGACTGATCAATTGGGGGGGGGAGAGAAAGAGAGACAGAGAGAGAGAGAGAGAGAGAGAGAGAGAGAGAGAGAGAGAGAGAGAGAGAGAGAGAGAGAGAGAGAGAGGGGAGCTGCAGCGCTGCAGTCTATAATACATTCCAATAAGGCCTGACCTCCTGACGCGAGTGTCGTTTCCCTGACCTAGACACACTGGCACTGACTGATAAAATACACAGTCTAATGAAAGCCCATGAGAGAGAGAGAGACCCTATAGCTACTCAGTCTCTGTACCTAGATACACAATCTAATGAGAGAGGCAGCCCCTATGGCTACACTACTCAGTCTCTCTGACTGATACAGAAACAGAGAGATAGATCCTCATTAAGGCTCAGATTAAACATCCTGTTTAACGGACCAATCAGATTTACACATCCTGTTACACGGACCAACCAGATTCAACATCCCGTTTAAGGGAGTGATCTGTATTTTATCGGGGTGCCACATCTGTGCCTCATGTTTACCCAGAACTTGCCAGCCAGACAAAGAGGGCTTTAAGTAGCTGCTTCACTCGCTGTGCCTCAGGTGCACACACACTGATGCCCATAAATAAAACACCCACTCTTTTAATGAATGCTTTTGCAATGGAAGCAATCCGATGGCAAAGAGGTAGCGAGGGGTAAACATTAAACCTACCTCCCAAATTGATGGTGCAACTCCTTCCCTCCCTCCGCCTCTGGCTCAGATCTACGCCAGTGTGCCATGCTTTGTAGCTGTGTGTGTGGAGGCATGGGTCTAGACCTATGATTAGGATCCCCTGGGAAAGGCATGGATGACTGTGGGGCAGCCAGGGGTGAGACAGGAGAGCGGGACAGAGTGATAAGAGAGAGGGTTTGTGTGCGTGTGTGCGTGCATGAGTGCCGTCACAATGGCATTACTGAGGGTGCTGGTCTCGCAGGCGCCCCGTTGCCTCGCCATGCCTGTCTCTATAGGCTGGAGTTAGCGGCGGTACGTTTGTCTCTTTCATGTGAGGCTTCATCAGAGCAGGGTGAGTAACAGGAATCTGAAGGCAATAAAGGTGCCTGAAAAGCTGCCTGTTGCACACACTAACAAACACTCACATTAAAGCGGGGGGAAGGTGAAATGTGTAATCATTCGTCTGGCTGATGCACACTAAACCTACACCTACTCACAAGTTTCTATCAGAGAGGCTTAAGAGATGGAAGTTACACAATATACAGCCCTTCCACAAATTCTAATTGTTATTTTCTCTCTCGCTCTCTCACCCCATCCCCCCTCTCTCCCCCCCCTCCCCCCTCCTCTCGCCATCTCTCACCCCCCTCCCCATCCCTCTCTCTCCCCATCCCTCTCTCACTCCCCACATCCCCTCTTACCCTATCCCGTCACCCAATCCCCTATCTCTCTCAACCCCTCCCCACTCACCTCCTACCCTCTCCCTCTCTCACCCCCTCCCCTCTCCCTCTCTCACCTCCTCCATGGCTTCTCCAGGGTGGGCCAGTAGCCATCTCCCAGGGCCAGTCTCTAGCAGGGAACAGCGACAGAACCCCACACTGCCTGTCCACAGGGTGTCCGTGACATCACTGCGCCCCTCAGCCAGGTCCCACAGGCACACACGCATGTCCCGCCCCTGACTGGCCGACAGTACACAGACAGACATATCACAGATGATAATCACACACTAGCATATTACAGAAGAGAGTGCAGCTAACGCGGCACCTGCAGTGAGGCTACAAATTAGTCCATATGCAAAGTTAGAGAAGTTATAGGGCAGGGTTCCCCAACTGGCGGCCTGCAGGCCGAATTCTTCCCACGGGTGGTTTTATTTGGCCCCCAAAGTTTGAGCATTGTTGGACATAAAATACTTTCGAAACACCAGGAAATCAGCTCCAAGTGATTTTTATTTAAGAAATATGTTCCCATGTATTCCCACGCATAATAGAGAAACACACGTGATCGCATACAAATATTTCGCATATAAGGTTTGAAATGATTATGTTTTAGTCTGTTTGGGCTTCTTGCGGTTAATTTGCAGTCTACAAATTATTTGTAATTATGCTTCGGCCCCCCCGACCATCCGCTCAAGAAAAACAAATGTCCCGTGGCTGAATCTAAATTAATTGATGATCCCTGTTATAGGGTGTCCAATCAAAAACACATATTTTGAACAATGGGTAAAATAACATGTTAATTGTGTAGATAATCCTCTAAGAAAACCAATGGTCCAAACAGTACCAGTCAAAAGTTTGGACACACCTACTCATTCAAGGGTTTTTCTTTATTTTTAATATTTTCTACATTGTAGAATAATAGTGAAGACATCAACACTATGAAATAACACATATGGAATCGTGTAGTAACCAAAAAAGTGTTAAACAAATCAAAATATATTTTAGATTTTAGATTCTTCAAAGTAGCCACCCTTTGCCTTGATGACAGCTTTGCACACTCTTGGCATTCTCTCAACCAGATTCATGAGGTAGTCACCTGGAATGCATTTCAATTAACAGGTGTGCCTTGTTAAAAGTTAATTTGTGGCTAATTTCATACAGCTAAACAATGTGCATTGTGAGTAAAAACTGAAGATCAGTTGAGGCCTGGTACTGTCAGTAAGGTAGTTAGTTATTACCTGATGAGAGTGTCTTTGGAGTGGAGAGTGTTGAGCCAGATGACAGAGGCTCCAGAATGACCTTCTAAAACTCTCTCAGCTCTCCTGGTGGTCAGGTTCCACACATGGACTGACCCCTGGCCGGAGCTACACAACAACACACCATTCAAGCCATTAGGCCTACTATTATTATCAATAATGGCTAACAAGTTACAAGTCCTTATCATTCTTACTTCATAAAGATTAATCTGCATGTAACTAAAGCATGTTGTTATGTATGAGATGTTTTCAAAAACAACAATCATATACCCAACCATTCACAAGGACATGTTTTAAAAAGCCAAACACTGCGTGTCTGGCTACTAATGCAGCTCAGCTGTTCTATGGAGATAGGGCGTGATCCCTTACCCAGAAAAGAGCAGGGGAGGGTCCCCTTCACAGCAGCTGAAGTGCAGGGCATTGAGGGGGGATCCAGCCCCCCTCAGGGTGTACAGGGGAGCAGGGGCAGGACGAGCCATCACTGGGTCACTCTTTTGAAACTCTGGAGGTCACCACCACAGTCATCTCACCCACTGGAACACAAGTAAGATCACTCAGTCACAACTGAACAGTGTTTAAAGGAGAGAGGTCAACCAAACATTGGCGGTTGTTTGAAGTGAGTTGGGTAAATCATGTTCTGATTACAATGGAATTGAGGGGGTTGATAATAAGTGAAAGGAATGAGGGTGTAATTTTCACTTCATTCACGTGAATTATTCCAATCAGTGCAGATCCAAATCGATAGTGAGATGGAGTTTGGCTAACACGCAAGCCTGGGCCGATGTCAACGGTGTCAGCTGTGATTGAGAAAGACCTCGCCATTTACAAAAGAGGATTAATGAAGACTACTCTCCAGACAGAGCTGATTAGATTTAATCTTGTCGAAGGAATTTGTGCAAGTTAAAGGGATAATGATAATGTGCTTAAAACAAGCCTTTGCATCCATCTTAATTTGTTGCTATAAAAACTATTTTTGACCGTGTCAGAGGAGAGGACTATATTTCTTACATCCCAGCTACAGTGGGGAAAAAAAGTATTTAGTCAGCCACCAATTGTGCAAGTTCTCCCGCTTAAAAAGATGAGAGAGGCCTGTAATTTTCATCATAGGTACACGTCAACTATGACAGACAAATTGAGAAAAAAAATTCCAGAAAATCACATTGTAGGATTTGTTATTAATTTATTTGCAAATTATGGTGGAAAATAAGTATTTGGTCACCTACAAACAAGCAAGATTTCTGGCTCTCACAGACCTGTAACTTCTTCTTTAAGAGCCTCCTCTGTCCTCCACTCGTTACCTGTATTAATGGCACCTGTTTGAACTTGTTATCAGTATAAAATATACCTGTCCACAACTTCAAACAGTCACACTCCAAACTCCACTATGGCCAAGACCAAAGAGCTGTCAAAAGACACCAGAAACAAAATTGTAGACCTGCACCAGGCTGGGAAGACTGAATATGCAATAGGTAAGCAGCTTGGTTTGAAGAAATCAACTGTGGGAGCAATTATTAGGAAATGGAAGACATACAAGACCACTGATAATCTCCCTCGATCTGGGGCTCCACGCAAGATCTCACCCCGTGGGGTCAAAATGATCACAAGAACAGTGAGCAAAAATCCCAGAACCACACGGGGGGACCTAGTAAATGACCTGCAGAGAGCTGGGACCAAAGTAACAAAGCCTACCATCAGTAACACACTACGCCGCCAGGGACTCAAATCCTGCAGTGCCAGACGTGTCCCCCTGCTTAAGCCAGTACATGTCCAGGCCCGTTTGAAGTTTGCGAGAGTGCATTTGGATGATCCAGAAGAGGATTGGGAGAATGTCATATGGTCAGATGAAACCAAAATATAACTTTTTGGTAAAAACTCAACTCGTCGTGTTTGGAGGACAAAGAATGCTGAGTTGCATCCAAAGAACACCATACCTACTGTGAAGCATGGGGGTGGAAACATCATGCTTTGGGGCTGTTTTTCTGCAAAGGGACCAGGACGACTGATCCGTGTAAAGGAAAGAATGAATGGGGCCATGTATCGTGAGATTTTGAGTGAAAACCTCCATCCATCAGCAAGGGCATTGAAGATGAAACGTGGCTGGGTCTTTCAGCATGACAATGATCCCAAACACACCGCCCGGGCAACGAAGGAGTGGCTTCGTAAGAAGCATTTCAAGGTCCTGGAGTGGCCTAGCCAGTCTCCAGATCTCAACCCCATAGAAAATCTTTGGAGGGAGTTGAAAATCCGTGTTGCCCAGCGACAGCCCCAATACATCACTGCTCTAGTGGAGATCTGCATGGAGGAATGGGCCAAAATACCAGCAACAGTGTGTGAAAACCTTGTGAAGACTTACAGAAAATGTTTGACCTGTGTCATTGCCAACAAAGGGTATATAACAAAGTATTGAGAAACTTTTGTTATTGAACAAATACTTATTTTCCACCATAATTTGCAAATAAATTCATTAAAAATCCTACAATGTGATTTTCTGGATTGTTTTTTCTCATTTTGTCGGTCATAGTTGATGTGTACCTATGGTGAAAATTACAGGCCTCTCTCATCTTTTTAAGTGGGAGAACTTGCACAATTGGTGGCTGACTAAATAAAAATTTTCCCCACTGTATATTCCTTTATGGCAATCATTTGAGCACATCTAATAGACACACAGTCTCTCTCTCCACTATACAAATAAGGCCTGTGGGCATTAGGTGAAGAAGTGGATGAGATATTTATTCCTCGTCCTTCTAGGCCAACATGATAAAAGCTGATCTTACTCAATACATCCTAAATCACACCACATGACAGCTTAATTACTGTAAACACAGAGATTCAGGATTTTCACTCGAGTTTTGATCAACATACGATTCTCAAAAGGCAGCAGAAGCACACAGGCTTTTATGTTAACTGTAGGTAGGGCTGCTTGGGAAATCCAGCCGACCAAAAATGTAAAGAGGAAATTATGTTTCGATGTCAAATCACACCGATATGTTGACAATGAGACACAAAAAAACCTTAAGAGCCAAATTCATAGGAAGAAAATAAATTCAACATGCCACATTGGCTTCAGAAACCGCCAGAAGCTACTGTTGACCACAGAGAGCGTTTGATTCTGTATCTTTCTTGGCTGGCAAAGTACCAGGGTGTTGTCTCTGGTTTTGAAATCTGAATTTAGAGAAGTGAATTTGAAAGCATCTGTGAAGTTGAATATATGAAACTTTGATAAACTTGAAAATTATAGTTTGTAAACTTGATACACGGACAATGAATGCAATATCTACCATATATATTCATATATAACCTCCCGAGTGGCGCAGTGGTCTAAGGCACTGCATCACAGTGCTAGCTGTGCCACTAGAGAATGGCCGGCAGGGATGTAGCTCAGTTGGTAGAGCATGGCGTTTGCAACGCCAGGGTTGTGGGATCGATTCCCACGGGGGGCCAGTATGAAAAATAAAAAAATTATGTATGCACTCACTAACTGTAAGTCGCTCTGGATAAGAGCGTCTGCTAAAAAAAATGACTAAATATATTGAACATTTGAATATTCAATTAAATTGAAATAGAATTTTAAAGCTGAATGCAATTCATTCAATTCAGTTTAAAATCATGAAATACAAGTCAAGTTTATGAATTCAATGATTCAATTGCATTACAAATGAAAAACATTAAATTCAAGTTCAATATCTTAATACAAAGTAAATCTTATGGAATTCAAATACAATTTCTTTTGGCACTGAAATCGCTACATAAGAAACGTGAGAATCGGCCTATTTCATTTCAAGACTTGTGTTACTCCTTTCTCGGCGGGCAATCTTATTTTATAATCACTCCCACCCTACTCCTATAGGCTAACCCTTGGTTTATAATCACTCCCACCCTACTCCTATAGGCTAACCCTTGGTTTATAAATCACTCCCACCCTACTCCTATAGGCCAACCCTTGGTTTATAATCACTCCCACCCTACTCCTATAGGCTAAACCTTGGTTTATAATCACTCCCACCCTACTCCTATAGGCTAACCCTTGGTTTATAATCACTCCCACCCTACTCCTATAGGCTAACCCTTGGTTTATAATCACTCCCACCGCTACTCCTATAGGCTAACCCTTGCCCTCCACATCAGCACACGCTGAAACTGGAGCCACAGGTATTTTGGAGAAGCTCATTTCAGAAGGTTAGTGGTTACATTTTCCATGTTAATCTGTGAAGCTGAGAGAGACAGACCTCTGCACAGCCTCCCTAATTAAGAAGAGGGCACCTGCACCACCGTCTAACTTGAACCTTCACAAAGACCACAGTCATCCCCAGTCCCACACCCCACCACTATCCCATTACCACTTCAGCCAGCCAGCCACCACTATCACACTATCACCCAGGGTCTGACCGCTCAAGCAGAGAGAAAGAGGATCCCCTAAAGCTTCTGGAATCGGTCACTGCATCATCATAAATGACTAGTCTAACCAGAGACATAGGCCTACATCGTATGCATATTATAGGTTTACCACAAACTACCTCAACTACCTAATAATCTAAAGCACTGACTGTACAAAACATTAGGAATACCTGCTCTTTCCATTGCCTAGACTGACCAGGTGAAAGCTTATTGATGTCACTTGTTAAATCCACTTCAAATCAGTGTAGATGAAGGAGAGGAGACAGGTTAAAGAAGGATTTTTAAGCCTTGAGAAAATTGAGACATGGATTGTGTATGTGTGCCATTCAGAGGGTGAATGGCCAAGACAAAATATTTAAGTGCCTTTGAACAGGGTATGGTAGTAGGTGCCAAGCACACCGGTTTCAGTGTGTCAAGAAATGCAACGCTGCTGGGTTTTTCACGCTCAACAGTTTCCCGGGGGGGGGGGGGGGGGTGTCCCTAATGTTTTGTACACTCAGTGTAGTAACCTACATTGGGGTATGAAGAAATTAAACAAAATGTCAACTGTAGAAGTTTGTGAAGATCTATTAGTGAAGCCTGAGGTTGTTGTGAACGGATGGGTGGGAAGGCCAGGCTACATTCCATAGCTAGAGCTCAGAGCCGTGCTGTTTCTGTTGCCATTTCTGAATGTGACAGCGAGGCTCACCCTGATAACAGGTGGATTAAGGTACCCTTCCCTTATTGTACTAATGCTCTTGGAGCTGGGCTGAGGCTCCACTAGTCAGGAACCACACTTTGCTTTCGTTGTACAAACACTGACTGCCTGGGCCTCAGAACATTCCTCCCCTGACCAACCGCCTGCATGTCAATCAAACACACTGGCTGTGCATGGGGGTGTGATTGGGTGATTGACAAGGAAACTACTGCAGTTGGGAAAATGTCACTGAAAAGTAGGTTGGCCCACCCACCACCCAGCCTGCATCTCTCTCCATAGAATGGTGGTGGTGGAAACAGAAACAACCACTTCTACCACGCCACTACTTCCTCAGTCCACTGTCCTCATCCTCTGTTTAGTGGCGTCAGCATTTCCAGAGCCACTGCCTGTGATTGCCCCAACAATGGAACTGTTGTGGTGGTTGGTAGTTAGCAAGTCAACCAAAAACCCCAATACAAACATGTGGGAGGCAGCGCAGTAGACAAATAAACAGTCCAGTGACAGGGTGTCACTCAAACGCATTCAGAGAGGCTCTTCAATTGTTTCACGCTAACCTGAGGCGGCAACCAGGCAAACAAAGCTGCAGTTGGTATTCTAGTCCAAATGTTGTATGAAAACTGATGTAAAATCAAGACAATAAATACTGTCCTCAAGCGATAAACTCAATCGAAGCAGGTGGGTGGAGCAAGCAGAGCGAGGCGGGTGGAAAGGAGGGGACAGCCAGAGCAGTGCCTGTATGCTAGCAGGATAGTCCATTTCTCCATCTTTGCTTATAGCAATGTTGTGTTTCCATAAGTGGATGCATTGATGTAATTTAGCATGTATGTTACAGCCTTAACCCTTAGCTACCTCTTTCAATTCAAATGAGCTTGAAAAAAAGTTAACAATGACAACATTTTTATGTGTGACTACAGCGCCAGCGATAAAACGCAAAAATAGAGACAGATTCTAATTGAGCAAGGCGTCAAAGCGGACAACCCGCCCGTCTGGCTTCGGTTGGGTCATTATAATTCAAAACAATGCATTCTAAAATATATCACACACACGCCTCGCATGCTCGCCTTTTGTGTGGAGGAATGGATAGTACTAGTAATAGGTCTATAAAAGGCAAATAGGACACTAGGCTAATAGGCTGCACGCTATTGTGGAGGAACATCACTGTTGGTCAAAACACAGGTCTTAGAACTCAGCAGTTCATCCACCCCAAGTTTTAATAAAACTAAATACCCTACCTTTCAAAAATGATTGAACCAACAGATAACCATAAAACCAGTGGGTCAGTCAGGGAATTTGTCATATAGCCTACCTGCTGCTGTGTCCCACAAGAAATTACAGAACGGTTAATTAAATTTGTGGTACGGGGAGGAAGGGAATAATAAATCACATTGACTGATTAATAAACCTGAGCTCCTCCGGACCAGAGCTGCCTGCCTGTCTGCCTGCCCCAGTGGAAAGAGCCAGGCCAGGGGAAGAGTGAGGCTCCTACTGGCCCTGTAACAGATAAGACAGCTCTGGTAATCTGACTCTAAGTCTGTGGATAAAGGCAGTGTGTCTCTTCTTGGCCCATCTGTCAACACCTGCGGGGTAATTAGGCCTAATTATGAGAGAGTCCGCTTCCCCTTCATGTTATTAAATAAGAGCCAGCTCCTCCAGCCAGGTATCGCTCAACACCGGCAAGGGGCTGGCGACCTTCAGATCAAACGCAGCCACTACCTGTGTCCCCTGCTTTGCAGAGCTTGCTGTTTATATGAAGTGGGGGGGGAATAGGGGCTGTCCAGACCACATTCCTTCCTTCCCTGGCTCTTTGGAGTTGGTAGCTAGCTATCATGTGAGAGGCAGTTACCCACCTGAGCTGCCCATCATATTATGCCATTCATAAATACGAGCGGGACATACAGATCACAGGGAGGCTGTTATGGAAAATATACTACCCAGTCTCACAAAACCCATTATGTAGAGAGAACAGGGCCATGGTCCCATGGTCTGATTATAATGATCAAATATGAGCCTTGATATGCATGATGAAAATGACAACCCCCTTGAAGAGCATTCACACACACGCATTCTGAATAGCCTGCTTGTACAGGTCATTTTAATTAACTACAATATATTATACTACAGCTTTGACCTACTTGGCTAAACACACTACGGTAGGTTCCATGGCAAGTAAGAAATCCCTCCTTTAGTGAGAACGTAACTCAGCTATTAGTCATTGTTCTATATCGGAACAGTCTTATCTTGCGTTTCCCCCCTTTCTCGCTGTTCCTCCGTGGGCACTTCCACTTCACTGGGGGCCTGGCTGCATTGACTCTTTAACCATTAGTCAGCCTTTCTTCCGAGACCCTCCCCACATCTAGGGCTGTTACGGTGACCGTATTACCACCACACCGGCAGTCACAAGTCATGACCACAGTCAAATTCCACATTACCGTTTAGTCACGGTAACTAGGCTTCTCCAAGCTCTGATGCTGCTGATGGTCATTAGTAGCCTACTAAACATTTACATTTATGTCATTTAGCAGACGCTCTTATCCAGAGCGACTTACAGTTAGTGAGTGCATACATTTTTCATACTGGCCCCCCGTGGGAATCGAACCAACAACCCTGGCTTTGCAAGCACCATGCTCTACCAACTGAGCTACAGGAGGACTAACGTGCTAACTGCCTGGTACTCAGCACGCTATTGTCCCTTTAATCACTCTGACATCAATGCAAATGTAATCGAAAATCTAATCAAACACTTCATGAGCCCATGAGCTCATCTTGCGCAACATTTCTATAGGCTATGCAACTGCGTGAGAAAACATGGCCTCTATTAAAAAGAGGAGGATCCCATCAGCTTTCTAGGCCTACTATATTTATTTCTCAACTTTCCTAATATTAAGCACATTGCTTATATTTACAACAGGAGTATAGCCTACCTGGCTGGATTGAAAATGAACCACGGGAAAAGCATTCTCCATTCGCTATTTAAGTGCATAGACTACATGTATTTTTTCCCCCTGCCCCTGTTTCAAGAGGTGCATGATAATGGTCCATTCTAAGTCAAAACAAATTTCACACATACAGTACCAGTCAAAAGTTTGGCTACTCATTCAAGGGTTTTTCTTTATTTTTACTATTTTTTACATTGTATAATAATAGTGAAGACATCAAAACTATGAAATAACACATGGAATCATGTAGAAACCAAACAAGTTTCAAATAGCCACCATTTGCCTTGATGACAGCTTTGCACACTCTTGGCATTCTCTCAACCAGCTTCACCTGGAATGCTTTCCAACAGTCTTGAAGGAGTTCCCACATATGCTGAGCACTTGTTGGCTGCTTTTCATTCATTCTGCGGTCCAACTCATCCTAAACCATCTCAATTGCGTTGATTTGGACTCCAATTTGGACTCCAGACCAAAGGACAAATTTCCACCGGCCTAATGTCCATTGCTCGTGTTTCTTGGCAGCAATTCGACTATGAAGGCCTGATTCACACAGTCCCCTCTGAACAGTTGATGTTGAGATGTGTCTGTGACTTGAACTCTGTGAAGCATTTATTTGGGCTGCTATTTCTGAGGCTGGTAACTCTAATGAACTTATCCTCTGCAGCAGAGGTAACTGGGTCTTCCATTCCTGTGGCGGTCCTCATGAGAGCTAGTTTCATCATAGCGCTTGATGGTTTTTGCAACTGCACTTGAAGAAACGTTCAAAGTTCTTGAAATGTTCAGTATTGACTGACCTTCATGTCTTAAAGTAATGATGGACTGTCGTTTCTCTTTGCTTATTTGAGCTGTTCTTGCCATAATATGGACTTGGTCTTTTACCAAATAGGTCTATCTTCTGTATACCCCCCCACCTTGTCACACCACAACTGATTGGTTCAAACACCTTAAGAAGAAAATAAATTCCACAAATTAACTTTTAAGAAGGCACACCTGTTAATTGAAATGCATTCCATGTGACTACCTCATGAAGCTGGTTGAGAGAATGCCAAGAGTGTGCAAAGCTGTCATCAAGACAAAGGGTGGCTATTTGAAGAATCTCAAATATAAAATATATTTTGATTTGTTTAACACTGTTTTGGTTTCTACATGATTCCATATGTGTTATTTCATAGTTTTGATGTCTTCACTATTATTCTACAATGTAAAACATTGAATGAGTAGGTGTGTCCAAACTTTTGACTGGTAGTGTATATTATTTAGTATATGTAAAGACAAGATTAAATCAAGAATAGTCTGATGGGTGACAATATTAGCGTATCACTTGTGAATTATATATTATCACTTGTGAATGATCGCCAGCTTGTAAGGCAAGAAACAGCACATGCCTTTTTTTTGCGACTTTTTCTAATCATAGTCACACACCTCATGTAGACTAGCCCATAGGCCTATACGTTTTGATAAGGTTTGTATCACAACTAAGTGGACAAATAATTTCTCAAAATTAAGCACATTAATCCGCTTTAATATTATGTACAAATAATGGAGCAACACTAATAAATCTATTATTTTATAACAAATGTGCTTTATCCCACGTTGGATACGGTCGCTGTCTGCGGTTCTGAAACAAATCTTCAGTACGCCATAGAATTGGCAAAATAGCAAAGATAACCAGCATATTGGGATTGAGAACAATGCGGTGGAGGCAGCAGCAGCAGAGACCAGGAAACAGCTCTTGCCTTAGCCTAATTGTCTAAGAAAATTGAGGCGAGGGGAAACCAACTTAATTAGGTCTATAATCAATAGCCTTACTGTTAAATGTGCCTGGCTTTATAAATCATCCATATTTATCTACAGAAATAAGACAGATCTTGCTGATGCCTGTTTGAGTGTTTAATACCTTACTGATTCCGTGAGCACCAAGCCTCATGCAAAGGCAAAATGTCAGATAAAGCAATTTCACAGATTCATCTGTTTTTAATCTTTGCTATGCTGTAATAAAGGCTTTATACTTTTTTTTTCGTTAGAACAGACTGGTATTACTTATAATTTAGTGTTTACACTGTTCCAAAGAGGCAGAAAAATGATATTGTAATGTAACAGCACCTGTTTGTCACATAGTATACATGCAGCTCTCGCTCCTATACCCTCCTTTTTCTTGATCTCCTTCTCATTATTATTACTATTATGATCATCATTATAATAAGTAATGTCGTTATCATTAGTAGGCTTTGAATAGTAGCCTTGTATAACCACCATCGAGCTGTAGGCCTAAGAGCACATCCTGTTTGGTCTTAATACCGTAACTTACTTAGGCCTATATTTCAATATATAGCCTAGTGTATCAATCAATCATTCATTCCATCACAAAGCATACAAGACATTCATGCTTTGAAATGCAATCTAGCATTTTAGTTTTAAATTAAATAACAAAGGGAACTTTGAATAATTAGCCTAAACAAGAAATAAACCGCAATGCACGAATGCATGCAACAGTTTTTTTGCTGTAATAAAGGCTTTAGATATATTTTTCCCCCCATTAGAACAGACTCTTTGGTACACTTATTTATTTAGTGTTGTTTACACTGTTCCAAATGGTCAGAAAAAATTATAATATTGTAATCTAACAGCAACTGTTTGGCACACATAATAATCACGCAACGCTTGCTCCTATACCCTCCTTTTTCTTGATCTCCAGTAGTTTCAACAACTAAGTCAAATGTCTACCACAGATATGACTTCATCTTTCTCTCCTGAGCAACCAGTAAACATTAGCCCTTTTCGCGTTTGTTTTTCATGTCCTCCACATCTATTTTACTGTCACGTGTTACTGTGTTCAGAGTTTGTTTTACAACTTTATTGATGTGATTATGATATGCTATAGGTCAGGCCCTATTGGTCACATGCATGTGATGCTTACATGTTTCACGTAAAGAGAGCAAGGATTGAGGGAATAGGGGATGTTTTTCCTAAAATACATTTTCAGTCAGAAACAAGTAAGAACCTAAATGGATGTAATGATGTTGCAGCTTCAGCACGGACAGCACAATAAACACTTGCTGTGCTGTGGTGCCTTTTCACTGCAGTAGGGAGGAGAGCGAGACAACGTGTGCCAGTCACACAGGCACTTGCTGTCATTTTTTTTTTAAAACACAGTGTGACCATCGGGCTCTTTCTTTAGTCAATTGCCCTAATTATTTAATAAAACAGTGTGTTTAAAGCATCAGACAAGCTCAGTGCATATGTAGTTGATTTTATTCAAACACATAGGGTGTGTCTGTCTATATATGGAAAATAAGTTTCAACATTTCGACCAATCGATTGGTCGAAAGAACAGGACAACTCTCGGTCTGCCAAGATTTTTTTTAGTCGGGGACAGCCCTACTATGTTTGGAATATTTAATTTTCCCGCACAATAGAATAGGTCAACTTTTGTACTATAGGGGACAGTAGATTGACATAGGCCAGTGCTTTTGCTGTTCGTTAGGCTTACTTATCTTGTTGGCTGACGAAAAGTAAACGTGGACAGTTCTTCCAACATCTTCAATATGCGCCTC